TCATCAAAACCACACTCAGTTTTTGTCAACACGTGTTATTTACTAAGAAATCGTTGTTGACTTGCAGTGATCTAAATTATTCTCTAATGTGATTTCTCATGGTGGAAACAACAAGATATTGTTTTGTTCAATGACCAATTTGTTCCAGTTTTTGTTTATTACAGTGGATTATTGTAAACATGAATTCCAATATGTGAATAATGTGTACATAAGAGATTACTCAAAATAGCAAATTTTTTGCAAAGACATTTATCTTTCATAAAACGATTAAATGTGTTTAGTGAACATACATGTGCATATTATTCAATAAATGAGAAATGTAAAAATCTATGACAATTTATTGTTATGAATACCACTACAATTGATTGATGAAACATAATTGAAATTGAATGAAAAAGTCAACAGACATTCTATCAAACTTTTTTATTTTTATTTTACAGTGTTAGAAATAAAAATAAATTATTAGTAGAGGTAAAAGTAGAGTTGTATAAATTATACTGCTTTTCGTACTAATATTACAATAGTCCTTATCACAACAACTGTAAGTGTTGATGAAAATATTTTGTAATTCTTCTGATGCACACCGATCAGCACATCCTTTAGTTATCAACGGTTGACTACCGAGTGACACTGACTTGTGAATTATATGAAATGGTAATGAGACAAAAGTGTTTTGAGAAATGATAATACTCGAGATAAATAAACATTGGATTATGAATATGCTTATTAACATATATTGATTGTCATCAACTGATTAAAACACAGTGTTCACTTCACATACTAAAAAAATTACCAAAAGTTTAGAGGAACAATGAACGTTAAGTTTTGGTTGGTCGCACTGCATATACAGCACTTACCATTAAACTTAAAGTTACATTAACCTTATACAAGCTCTCTACTCGAACACCACTGGCCGAGTGAAAGCTTATGGCGAACTGTCATCGGAATTCTTTACTTCAAGTGGTGTCCGTCATGGATGTCCACTCTCTCCATTCTTGTTTAATTTTATCATAGACATGCTCCTAGATATAACCTTATCCTCGTCTGAATTTTCATAATTAGACCTTTTACCAGGTGGCTCGCTTATTGACTTAGAATATGCCGACGACACAGTCCTAACTGATGAAGACGCTGACAAAATGCAGAGTCTTCTGACTACCCTAAGCAACAATGCAAGCATGTTCGGGATGCGGTTCTCGCTCTCAAAATGTAAAATGTTGCTTCAAGATTGGGTTTCATCGGCACCTGAACTAGTGATAGGGAGTGAAGCAGTCGAGCGCGCAAATCGCTTCACATATCTGGTGAGTCTCATCAGTGCTGATGGCCAGGTGACTGACGAAATCTCAGCTCGGATACAGAAAGCTCGATTGGCTTTTGCCAACCTGTGTCACTTATGGCACAGGCGAGATATCCGCTTTTTAACCAAAGGACGAGTGTACTGTGCAGCAGTTCGCTCCGTCCTACTGTACGGATGCGAGACTTGGCTGTTAAGAGTAGAGGACTTCCGTGGGTTACTAGTCTTTAATCATCGATGTCTCCGAAGCATAGCTCATGTATCATGGGACAACCGTATAAGCAATTCTGTCGTTAGGAAATGAGTTCTAGGTAGGGATGGCGAATCAATAGATGAATTGCTGAAACTTCATCTGTTGAGGTGGTTGGGACATGTGCTACATATGCCTAACCATCGACCGCCTCGACGAGTTATGTTTTGCAGTGTACAAATATCTCTGTAACTCTTTACCTGTAAGACTAGTTAATGCGTGAAATATAGGTTGATAAGCATCTATTGATTGTTTGTGTTATTTACTTAAAATGAATCAGCCAGTATCTCTATTGACACTATTTACTATTATAAATCACGACACTGCTTTTAAAATACCTTAATTTATTGCATTAATATATCTAAATCATTTTACAACATGGGGGAAACTACTTTGTTCAATAAAAAATTAGGTTTTTTTCTTTTACTTTCTCAAATTATACCAGTTAACTTAGTTTTAAATGTCTTAATAATTTTATATGAAACTAGAAATTATGTGGTAAATTGGTATTTATGATAAAAAAATTCAAATAACTACTGTATACTGTCTACACTTACTGTACACCATTTACAGTCATCTTTGACCTTGACAACCGGAGAAGATTGGTTGAATGGAAATGGACATTCATAACATTCATAACATTTGATTGAAAAAACTGAAGTGAATAAGGATGAAATACAGTTAGAATAATAATAATAATACTAAAAAGTAACTTTTATAATTTGTTTATGTATACATGGGACTACGGAATGAGCAACGCTGTTATTAGGAAACGGGTGCTATGTAAGAATGGCAGATCAATAGATGAAGTAATGAAACTTCATCAGTTGAGGTGGTTGGGACATGTGCTGTGTATGCCCAACCAACGACTGCCTCGACGAGCTTTGTTTTGTAGTGTAGGAGTAGGTTGGATGAAAGTTAGGGGCGGCCAGACCAAAACATGGCACAAATCCATGAAGTCACTGACAAGTGGACTGAGTCATGTTGATAGTTGTCGACGACCTGGTTGGAGTGCGCGAGATGATAATAATCGATGGTTAGATACCCTGAATGACATGGCTCAGAATCGTTTGCAACGGCGCAGGTGCACTTAATCGTTGTGTCCCACGAAATTCTAACCTTCTGAATTCCTCATCACCTTTATCTTTCTCTTTCTAAATTTACCTGACTGAATTATCTTTCTTAAATAACATCTTCCTACCCTAATCTCTCCGATTACTTCTAATACTTTTACTACCTCTACTACTATGGGATTTCAATTGACAGTTATACCTCTGTGCTAATATGGTTGGGCAACTTGAACTGCTGTACTAATGTGCAAAGTTACACGTTGCTGTTGTTGTTGTTGTTGATGATGATGATGTCGATGGTGCTGATGGTGATGAAGATGATGATGATGTCGATGATGCTGCTGCTGATGATGATGATGTCGATGATGCTGATGATGATAAAGATGATGATGATGATGATGTCGATGATGATGCTGATGATGATGACGTCGATGATGCTGATGATGATGCTGATGATGATGACGCTTTATTAGTTGAAAAGTAAACATTTCATAATCTTATAAACTTTGATAAAAACATCTAAGGATTAAATGAACTAAAAAATAATAATACTGAATTTATCTGGCAAGTACAAACAATTTATATCATGACGACATTAGTAAAATAGACGGATCGTTAAACAGCGAACTGGTGCCTTATTCACTGAGAAGACAAAAAGAAGGATTGACATACGTTGGTTGGGTTTTTCCATTTCATAATGAAATTCACAGTAAAACGAAAAAATTCTACTGCTTTCAAGTTAAATGATTAATTAACATCCTGACTAACAACATTTTTAGTTTAAACATTTGGTTAAGAAATTTATAATCAAAATTTGTACTATTGTTAATCCATAATAGAGTTCCTTCATTTCCTCTTGTGTGATAGGTATTATAGTTGTCACCCGCCTGTTACCTGTCTATTATCTTTCAGTTCATGATGAGTACAGTATTTGAAGTGAATATATCTATACACGGAACTATTACTGGAGCAGCAATCAAATTAATTTTATATGAGATTAGCTTACGAAGTAATTGGCAATAATTTTACACTGACAACTAACTGATCACAATGTCAAATTAAGATTGATTGGTTAAGGATAGAAATAGACTGGAAGAAAATTAAAAGAGAAAGCAAACAGAGCAAATTTATTTGTTGTTAGTTTATTATATTCACAGTCTTTTTTACTCAGAGCCATCTTTGGCTCATCTATGTATATTTGTTCATTTCTATGTATTAATGCAATGTAAACTGTTCTCGTGTGTACATAAAGGAATGTTTGAAATATGGGAACGGAATCGTGGACTGGTGGTAAATGGTCTATTTTCTTCCTGTTCGTTTGAGGGCAAGTTAGTAATGGGCTGTCGTTCTAGCATAGATTATTAAAGATTCCCATTGTGAAAATAAGAACAACACATACAGGCGAACAATATTGCTGTTTTCGATTAGATCGTCATCAGACTGCTTTACTCTAATATACATGAATATTTATATGAAAATGTTAAACCAATCAAGGCAATTCGAGTGATAATCGCAATGAAATGAAAAAGATTACGTAACTACATGCAATAGACAAAAGTTCAAGTGGATAGTAGGAAGACAGGTGTACTGACAGTAGTGAGAAAATTATAAAATATGATAACTAAAGTTTCCCCATTTTCGAAACCATGAATCGATCAACGTTAGACCACCATTAGAAACATGGAAGCACTGGACGGCCGTTTCATCCTGGTATGGGACTCCTCAGCAGTGAGCATCCACGACTCCTGCTCCTCGCAGGATTTGAACCCAGGACCTTCGGTATTGTAGGCGAACACCTAACCATCGGACCTCTGAGCCGGTATTGAACGGTCTTAATGTCTATCTTGATCAATTCACGGAGTTGCGCAACCTCATACAGTCTTCAGTAGTTACTGTCTACACCCGAACAGGTTGAACTTCACTGGTGACGTCTTCCCACAAGAACTCGGAGAAGATTCCTCAAGGAACTAGTCACTAGTGAGCACAGGTAATTTGTGAAGATTGTTAAGTTACACATTTTTTGAAACCATGAATCGAGCAACTGAAGGTTTATCAATAGTAGGTCAAGGGTGGATGAACAGACTTCAAATAATCGTTAAAATCATCAAAACCATTACGTAATAAGTAAATGTGTAAAAATAAAAAGTAAAATAAAATAAGAAACAAAATATAATGTCAATCGTTAGTTACGTCATATCCGGCCACGGAAGAGATAGGGGTGTCACGAATTTCTTCTGAACACATAAATTGGGGTTGAATGTACGAATTCCTATGGCTTCTGCTATGTGTAGGAGACGGAATGGAACTCCGTTGGGAAATGATTGAGGTATACGATAGATCACCCGAAAAGATCTAGATTTATCTACAATATAACCACTATCAACCAGGTGTGCTAAGATCGAACTGCGTATTATTTTTGACTGACCCTTCGTAAACCATGCTGGGAGATGTTCACTCATTCGTTGGTTAAGTTGTCTGCCTCCTCGTCATCTAACTGAATGGGTATATTAGGTGACGTGCATTAATGGAGCCTTTTGGAGGTCATGGTGGCGGCTAACTCTTCGTGGCTCCGCCAGGCAACTTGACGTTGTTTACAGCTCTGCGGCTAAAAGCCGTTCTGAAGGCTTAGGATGCTGTGCCTAGCATGGTCCAGAATAATGACCTTGTTCATGGTCACAGGCCGTGGATGCGGTTTTGCCACACTGGGGGATTAGGACCGAACGTCTCCAAGCCTGAATCCCGTCCACTGAGTGTAGATAAATTTGAAATAATGGGATATAAATTTCCAGGTTGCTTGAGGGCGGCCCAAGACGATTTGTTTGGGGAAGCAGCCGTAAAGATCCTGGTTTTCCTACTTATCTAGTACAATTAGTGAATTGCATTTCCTCAGTGTCCTCATTATTTCGTCAAAACCTCATTAGACTGTAACATTTGAGCAACATGGAATTTCGATCAGAGTCACATTCCACATTTCAATAAGTTTGTTTACATTGTCTTCCTACTGTATAATGTAATCACTAGTGACTAATAATATACTTTGAATGTTTTAACAAATAACCTCAGTTGCTGACGTCGTAAATAGTTCAATTGACAAATCACTCACAACAGTAATTAAATATATATATATATATATATATATATATATATATATATATATATATATATACGGAATTATCAATCATCAACTTTTATAAACTCACCGTAATCTGTATTCACCACAAGCACTGATATCATCAACAAAATTTCCATGTTACTTTTCATGATCCTGCACTAATTAATCACCTATTACTTATGATACGTAAACTCTCCAACTCTTAAATATAAACATCCTTTTTATGTTCTGTACTTGAGTAACGCCAATCCGCTGTACTAATGACAACACCGAACGTTAGACTCCCACCGTTCAAAAATAGAAAGACGGAAGACCTTAGAGAACACTTATTAACAGAATCAAAAGTATACAATCAAACGTGCGTATTTATACAATTATATATAAATAATCGATATTGTCGTTTGAATATTTGAACACAAATCAAATAGTTCATCGATCGACTGCTCTTGAAATATTTAAACATTTAATCGATAAGTTCATCAGTCCACAATGTGTGTGGCTTTCTTCTTGATTGGCTATCCCAACACCTCCCCGGAATAAGATTTTTTTTCTTAAGTCCACTTGTAGTCTTACGACTGGTTTGCGGTGGCGTTCCATTCTGCTTATAGTTTTTCGAGTTAGTGTCTCCGACCTTCCATTTTCTTCGGTATTCCGGGACAAATGTGTAGTTGTCGGTTCTGTGATCAACTCCAGCGGTAGATTTACACGATTATCACCTGAGCATGCCATTCTTTCGTCCTTTCGCCGTTGGTTCGTGTGTCTAACACAGCTTCCGAAAGCTCCGGTTATTCGATACAAAACTCTTCCTAGTCTTTGGACGACGGTTTCTGGTAACCATTGATTTTTCCCCAGATATGATTTTAGGAACACTTTATCGCCAACGTTGAAGCTGCGAATATTTGAACTTGGCCTGTACCTACTCACTCTTTTAGGGGGCAACATCGCGTTAAAAATAGTCCGAATAATTCTTACAAACACTGCTTCAACTGGAGACTTCCCGTCTGAGACCGTTTGGGTCGGAGTGCTTCTGTAAACCGCCAAAAATCTAGTGATTACTTGGCTAGTTGGCCCCTCGTCTCCCCCTTTCAGTAAAGCTCTTTTGAAGGTGTCCACGAAGCGTTTTGCTTGTCCATTGGATTGGGGATGGTAAGGTGGGGACCGTAGATGCGTTATGCCATTTGAACTGCAGAATCGCTTGAATGAGTCTGCAACAAATTGTGGTCCATTATCAGTTACCAAGGTTTCTGGCACTTCGAAACAACTAAATAAGGTAGACAGCTTCTGAATAGTTTCTGAGGCTGTACAATTCGGCATGCTGTATATTTCTGGCCATTTTGTATACGCATCTACAATAATTAGAAACATTTTACCTTGGATTGGGCCAGCGAAATCTGCATGAATTCTCTCCCAAGGTCCAGTAGGTTTCTGCCATTGTTGAGGCTCACATTTCGAAGGGTTTTTTGCGGCTTGTACGCATGAAAGGCAGTTTCGGCATTTGGTTTCTATATCTACCAATGAGTCTAGACAAAGCGTCAGCTCGTCCGAAAGAAGTAGTAGGTTGGTACTTAATTTTGAAGTCGTGACCCAATAATGTGGTTCCACATCGTTGCAATCTGTTCGCAGTATAGACTGGGATCCCTTTCTTTGACCCAAATGTGGCTAGCAGCGGTTTATGGTCAGTTAAGAGTGTGAAGCTGCGTCCAAATATCATCTTGTGAAATCTTCTTACGGCGAAAATAATTGAAAATGCTTCTTTCTCAATCTGACTATAGTTACATTCTGCTGTAGTTAAAGACCTTGCTGCATGCGAGATTGCCTTCTCTGATCCATCAGGCCTGATATGCGAAATGCTTGCTTCAATGCCGTAGTTTGAAGCATCTGACGCTACTACAATAGGGAGGAATGGGTCATAGTGTGTCAGCGACAGATCCGAGAGTAGCAGTTTTGACTCGAAAAGGTAACCGATTATATCGGAATAGGCCCTTAAGTGTGTTTATAGTAAGCATATCTTTACATTCATCAGCAACAGAAATCTGTAAATAAGCTTCCGATAAATCCAGTTTCGCAAACACCTTGCCTCCATTTAGCTTAGCGAAAAGATCCTCAGGTATAGGCAAGGGATACTGGTGGGGTTCTAGAGCATCTAGCACCAGATCCTACGAATCTTCTCAAAGGGGAGGTGTTATTGTGACATGGATGGAATTAAAGCATGACTACGTTGCTACGCTCTGATTGGCAAACTTCCTATCCAATCAGCGTCTGATCGATTCTTGGAGAACAGGGTAGAAAATTCTCGTGTCGTTAGCTGCGTGCTGATTGGCCAAATCTAATTCGGTTGATCACGTGAATTTCTATCCAGAAGCTTCTCATGT